CAAGCTGCTGGGTTCTGCATTAAGTCCTTGGAAGCAGGGATCTTTTGGGTTTTATTTCCTTGTTTCTTTGTGGTATAGTGCCAAAGATCCAACCCAGGGCCTCCTACACGTGAACCATGTTTATACCACTGAATGACATCCCCAGCTCAAAAGAAAATGCTCCTTTTCTCCTCCCTCTCTCTTTCTATTGTGGCTGCTACAATGACCAAAGGGTCACACACTTTAGTGATGGTATCAAAGACCCAGCTGGCAGTGTTTCTGAGTCCCACTCAGCGTGGAGGACAGAGCTGGGGGACGCTTGCTGGTCAGTCTGCTGCTCTACCACTGTACCAGTCACCTTGCCCTGTGCCCCTCCTAAAGAGGTTTAGGCTTTCTTCCTAAAGAGATTTTTGTTTTGTTTTGTTTGGGGGCCACACGTGGTGGTGCTCAGGGCTTACTCCTGTCCCTGCATTTGAGATCCCTTCTGGTGGGCAAATGTATGGGGTGCAGGAGAATGAACCTGCGTCAACCGCATGCCAGGTAAATGTCCTGTAAAGAGAGATTGGTGCTTGGTGCTTGGTGCTCTGGCCCTTCTAGAGAGATCTCTTATGTAGGAATCCATTGAGACATTCAAAGATACCCATTACAAGGGGCAAAGAGCTCTCTTTCTTTAAATATCCCAATGTCTTCTCTGGGTTTTGTTTGTTTGTTTTTGGTATGGGTACCATGCCTGGCAAGTGTTCACAGGCTACTCCTGGCATCAAGCTTAGCGAGCTCAGGGGACTTATGTGGTGCCAGTGAGGGAACCAGCCTCCCATACGCAAAGCTGGAGCCCTATCCAAATGTCTCTAAAGCCTGTAAATCAATAACACAAAGGCCATTTCACGGGGCCTTCATTTAGTCTGAAGTCCCTTTTTTCAGGGTCCAAGAGAAGTTAATAAAGCACTGGGCTGAATCTCTTCTGCTAACACGCACACACAACTAGTATGAGCACCAGCAAGGAACGTCAGTGACAAAATTTCTGTAGCAGCCATAAAGGCGAAGGGAATTTTGAGAGAGCGAGTATGAGAGTGAGAGCGAGAGAGAGAAAGAGAGAGAGAGAGAGCGAGAGAGAGAGAGAGAGAGAGCACTATCCTGTTTTTTGGGTTTTTTTTTTCTTTTTGGGTCACACCCAGCGATGCTCAGGGGTTATTCCTGGCTCTGCACTCAGGAATTATTCCTGGCAGTGCTTGGGGGACCATATGGGATGCCGGGGATTGAACCCAGGTCAGCCGCGTGCAAGGCAAATGCCCTACCCGCTGTGCTATCACTCCGGCCGCTATCCTGTTTTGTTTTAAAAAATTATCTTGGAATGCTGCATAAAAACAAGAAAAGAAATCCCATTGAACCAAGACTGCCACCATTCTCTGAGCTCTACCTGCATGCAGGATACCTCCTGACATCTTCACTGCAGACACAGAATGTACTGTTAGTTTTATCATTTTCATTTTTTCACAACTCCCTCCGCCTGCCCCCTCATTATTGCTGTTGCTGATGTTACAGGGTGGCACACAGATTTGGCTGTGGTGTCCCCTGGGATCACACAGGGGGCTGCAATGCTCACACACTTGGCTTGGTGCTAGCTGAGGCCTGTGTACCTTTAGTTGTGCCCTTTGCACCTGTGCTCACAAGGAACCAAACTCTTCAGCATGCTTCCCTGTTGCAGTGCTTGTGAAGGGGTGTGTGGAGAGGTCACTTTATGGTTCGTTCATGTGTTCCTAGGGGTCACCCTTCCTGAGCACCACCAGGTGTGACCCCCAAACAAAACAAAACAAAAATCTCTTTAGGAAAAAAGCCTAAGCCTCTTTAGGAGGGACACAGGGCAAGGTGACTGGTACGGTGGTAGAGCAGCAGACTGACCAGCAAGCGTCCCCCAGCTCTGTCCTCCACGCTGAGTGGGACCCAGAAACACTGCCAGCTGGGTCTTTGATACCATCACTAAAGTGTGTGACCCTTTGGTCATACACTTTATATTGGAAAATTTTTCTTTGTGGTCTATCTTTTGCGTATCTTTTTCAGCTGTGGTCCTCGCTGGGGGGTGCACACTTTTAAACGGGGTGTTTATTAACACCCAGCTGAGCACCACTGGAAATCACTTGTAGGGTCAGAGATTCCAGACAGCAAAGCTGCCGGGATCACGCATGGTGACGTATATATGGTGACACTGGGATATGATCTCAAGACCATATGCCTTTGCAAGGCAGGTGCCCTAAGCCCCTACACTATTCCTCTGGATGTAATCTGTTCATTTTCCATCTGGAGAATCTTGAGTCTCAGAGGAGTTTCCAAGGTGTACTAGCTTGTGACTGGAACGGAAAAAGATCCAGTCTGTGTTCACATCTGCTACTTTATTGGGCTAACAAACCAGTAGGTGTTTGTTGGGTTTTCTTGTTTGGGTTTTTGTTGCAGTTGTTTATTTATTTGTTTTTTGAGCCACGCCCAGCAGTGCTCAAGGCTTTCTCCTGGCTCTGCACTCAGGAATTCCTCCTGTTAAGCTGTGGAGGGGACCACCTGGGGTGCCAGTAATTGAACTGGCCAGCTGTGTGCAAGGCAAATGGCCTACCCACTATACTACTACACCAGCCGTACAAAGCAAGAGTTTTAATGATGATGGCTAAGACTATATTTAGTGCATCTAGAAGGTATACTGGTATCCTCCCTTCTTTTTGAAAATTCACGGGAAGCCACTTTACTGTTACAGAAGACCCACATTGGTACCTGCGTCCACCCATGGAAAGAAATTCAAAGAGGACTTTTGCTTTTAAAGAAAAAAAAGTGAAAATAGCATTTGTTTCATAGTGAGTCATTGTAAAAGTAGCATGTGCTCTGAGCCTTCCCAGAAACCCTAGGTAGGGGCTGTGCATTTATTATGTCCCTCCTCTTTCACTATATTTTAGTGTGTTTTGGGTTGCTGAGTTTTTTGGCATGAGAGATGGGGGATGCTCAAATTTTTTTTCCCCTATGTATATTAATGGTGGTTGGTGCTTGCTTCTTATTTTACCATCTGGCTTAGGAAAAGTTTCACAGGAACTCTTGACTTTTGGAGGGGACGCAGTAAGCCTCAATATACAAGTTTAATTTCTCCTGCCTAGCTGCCTAACCGGCTGTTCGTGCACCTGACCGAAATACATTTCCAAGTCTGTTCAATGTATTATGGATTTCTGTCAGTTACCTTTTAACATTTGCTAAAATTCACCATTTCAACATTTGGGTGAATTTTTGTTAGCATTTGGAAGTATTTTTATCAGTAACATAAATCTTGCTCCAAGTAGATAAAGAAACATTGAATTTTTTTCAGAAAATTTTGCCAATATAAAGTTTGTAAGTGGATACTTAAACCTTTGAAAATAATGTCTACTCGAAGATCAAATCACCCATCAACTGCAAACCTGACAAAGGACAACATTGGTGTCTATGGACTGTTTTGTTTTAAACAATAAACTCTGCCCGCTGTTTATCTGAACAAGAAGCCTTAAGGTTACCTGTACATGAAAACAGTCATCGCTACAGCAATCAAAAATGGCAATAATTACACAGTGATTCATCATGGATCCTGAATGGAATTTGTTTGCCAGGAACAGAAAACAACTCAAAGATGGGCTTCACTGCTAGTGGTGGTTGGGGAAACAGCTAAGGAAGAACCTGTGAGGGGCTGGAGCAATAGCACAGCGGGTAGGGCGTTTGCCTTGCACGCGGCCGACCCGGGTTCGATTCCCAGCATCCCATATGGTCCACTGAGCACTGCCAGGAGTAATTCCTGAGTGCAGAGCCAGGAGTAATCCCTGTGCATTGCCGGGTGTGAACCAAAAAGCAAAAAAAAAAAAAAAAGAATAACCTGTGAGGGGCTGGAGCAATAGCACAGCGGGTAGGGCGTTTGCCTTGCACGCGGCCGACCAGGGTTCGATTCCCAGCATCCCATACGGTCCCCTGAGCACCGCCAGGAGTAATTCCTGAGTGCAGAGCCAGGAGTAACCCCTGAGCATTGCTGGGTGTGACCCAAAGAGCAAAAAATAAATAAATAGATAAAAAAGAATAATACTTTTTATACTAGAATATCTACCTGAATAACTCCAGTTTGTAGAAGTAATGAATACATCTCCCGAGTAAGTGTTTAATAATTCACTCATTCAAGAAATTCTTTGTGGGCTAGGAATGTAGCTCAGTGGTAGAGTACTTGCCTTGCACCAGGTAGTTTCCCAAGCACTACCAGGAGCAATGCCAGAGCACTGAGTCATGAGTAGCCCTGAGAGGTTGTACGTAGGTAAGGCACTAGCCTTGCACACAGCTGTCCTGGGTTTGATCCCCAGCACCACAGAATGTCTCCTGAGCCCCACCAGAAGTGAACCCTGAGCACAGAGCCAGGAATTAAGCCCTGAGCACAGCTGTATGTGGCCAAAAAATTTTTTTTCAAAGACACAGACATAAGTCAGTCTATGACAATGGAATTTAAATTATAATAAAGAAAAAGACAAAATGAAATACAACATGGCAAGATTCTTATCAAGAAACCAGGTGGTCATTAGCATAGTTAAGCTTATGTTAACACTTAAAAGATGTTAAAAATGAAATTAACTGGATAAATTTTAAAGCATGAATCAGGGGTTGAAGTAATAACACAGTGTGGAGTGCCTTGCCTTGCACATGGCCAACTTGGGTTCGATCCTTGGCACCACAGATTGTGCCCGGTGCACCACCAGGGGTGATCCCTGAGTGCAGAGTCAAAGTCCTGAGCACTGTCAGATGTGGCCCAACAACCAAAACAACAATAGAAACATGAAGCAGCACATTTCACAGAAATAAAAACATCTTCAATGACAAATAATTAATATTAGAGAAAAGGTCTTCTACCATCTAATAATGCAAAAAATTCCTGACACTGAATGAATAAATAAATAAAAGAAAGCGAAGTTTACTGTTCGTTCACTTTTTTGTTCCATATTCCATTAATTTACATGAGAAATAGAAATTATTAAATACCTTACCAGCTTTAGTATTTTCAGGATGCTTGTCGGGATGACATTCCAGAGCTCTGATCTTAAATTCTGCCAGAATTTGTTCGACCTAAAATAAAAATCGGTATTTAAAATAAGGACTACAACTTAAATATCATGAAAGAAGAAATTGGATATCAAGCTTTCCCAAACCAGCCATGATCCACCCAAGGTTTTAATTTTATTTTTGTATGTGTACTCTAAATTTACCTTTTTTACTGAAAAATAAATTATTTCCTCAATATGAAAATTCAGAAAACATTCAACAAAAGCTTCCTTTTTAAAAGTGGGGGCCAGAGGGATAGTACAGTGGGTAGGGTGTTTGCCTTGTACATGTCTGACCTGGGTTCGATCCCCCAGCGTCCCATATGGCCCCTCCCCAAGCACCACCAGGAGTAATTCTGAGTGCAGAGCCAGGAGTAACCCCTGAACATCACCGGGTGTGACCCAAAAAGCAAAAACAAAAAAAAAAAAACCCAAGTGATCTATGATGACCATTTAACTTGCTCCAATATTTAGATGATGGTTCAAGACACCAATGAGTTCAATATATTTAAATGATAAAAATTATATGTTTATCGTAAGAATATATAAAAGATGTATTGGTGTGTCTGGGACTCTTCAAAAGATGCTTAGCAACTATTCATTATTCAGGCATGACCGTCCTGTTTATAAACTATCCATATAAAATTATTTTTTCCTGCCTTTTGATACTTTTCTTTTTTAGTCAAGAACTTCAGAGTTGAGGACCGGAAAGATAGTACAGTGGTAGGGTGTCTGCCTTGCACACAATTGACCTGGATTTGATCCCCAGCATCCCATATGGTCTCCCAATCACTGCCAGGAGTAATTCATGAGTGCAGAGCCAGGAGTAGCCCCTGAGCATTGCCCTGAGTGTGACCCAAAAAGCCAAAAACAAACAAACAAATAAACAAGAATTTCAGAATTGGGGCCTGGCATATAGTACGGCAGGTAGGATGAGTTTGTCTTGCATGTGCCCAACCAGGGTTCAATCCCTGGCACCACATAGGGTCTTCTGAGCCCCACCAAGACTTTGCCTGAGTACAAAGCCAGGAGTAAGCCCTGAGCACAAGTAGGTGTTGCCCAAACACCCCATCCCAACAAAAAAGAATTTCAGAAGTAATAGAAAAAAGATAAAATACATACCAGTAAATTTTGTAACTAATTAGCAGCGTGGGCAGAGATTTTGACTGGGATAATAGAAACTGAAACCCAAATTAAAATGAAATTTGGGGGGCCAGAGAGATAGTACAGTGGGCCTGAGAGACAGGACTTACCCTGCATGCTGGTTTGAAGCTCCACTGCCCTTGAGCACCACCAGGGGGCACGCCTGAGCACAATGCCAGGAAATTGCTTTGTCAGGCCCAAACCCACCCCCCCAAAGTATCACTTTCTCAATCTAATAAATAAAAATGTTTAAATGAAATTTGTAGGTCTGGAGAGAGAGTACATCAGGTAGGGCACTTGCCTTGCATGTGGCTGACCTGGGTTCGATCCCTGGTATCTCATATGATTCCCTGAGCACCACTAAGAGTGATCCTCGAGCACAGAGCCAGGAGTAAACCCTGAGCATCACTGAGTGTGATCCAAACCCCGCCGCAAAAAAAAAAAAAATTTTATAAGTAAATAATAAAATGAATTTTGTGGGCCACCTATGATTTCATCGACGGTGAAATATTTGTCATCAATAACACACCTAAGATGATTGGTTTTATCAACTCTCATTGTGATAATAGCAACAAGATGGTTATGTAACTATGGGGTCCACCCACTCCCGTTACTACTTGGTCTAGCTCTTCGGGCCCAAAGGTTCAAAGCTCAGGCCCAGTGCTACAGTGGTGCTCTGGTCAGTGGTGCTGAGGGATGCTTACATCTGACGGTGCCCAGTCCTTTGAGCCCTGGCTCTTCCCTTGCCTTTTCTTGTTGTTCTTATGACTGGGAACCACACGTACTTGATTATGGTGCTCACACACTTGTCAGTAAAAAGGCTCACCAGGGAGCACGTACTTCAGTTGTAGTCCTGCTGCACACTTTGGTTACGGTGCTTACCAGTGGGGTCACACATTTGGCTGAGCTGCTTGCTTATCCTTGGCTGCAGGGCAGCAGAGATTTAGGGTACCGGGGACCCCAAACAGTAGTGCAACCAGAATCAGGCTCTGTGTATATGGGGCAGTACAGGGGTGAAAGCTCAGGCTGCACTCATGAGGAGCACGACCATCAGGTTATTCCTGGGCCCGGGGTGGCTTCTCTCCTTTCTCTTTCTGTTTATTTGAACGACACCCAGCAGTACCCAGCGGCTCACTCCCAGAGGCGATCAGGCACGGTGTAATGCCTGGGCCCGATCAAACCCTGGGCCTCCTGCATGTAAAACATCATTTGCATGGACTCAGTCCATTGAGCTATCTCTCTAGCCCTGACTGCTTTTAATTCCTATTTTGGGATTAAGTAAATAATAAAATGAATTTTGTGGGCCACCTATGATTTCATCGACGGTGAAATGTTTGTCATCAATAACACACCTATATGATTGGTTTTATGATGATAGCCACAGGATGCCTTGCACACAGCTGATCTGAGTTCGATCCCTGGCACCTCATTTGGTCCCCTGAGCCCACCAGGCATGACCCATGAGCACAGAGCCAGGAGTAAGCCCTGAGCACCATTAGGTGTGGTCAAAAAATAAAAACAAAAAAGAAACAATCTACTGAGAAGTTCTTCAGAGAAAAAGAACGATGATTCTTTTCTTAGAACGATAATTGTGTTTCCTCTACCTGGGTGCTCCCTTTAGCTCTCAGTGACCACAGTCTGTCCGTATAATAAGGAAAACTGAGAAAGAGACTTGTTTTTAATTTTTTTTCTTTTTTGGGTCACACCCGGCGATGCACAGGGGTCACTCCTGGCTTTGCACTCAGGAATTACTCCTGACGGTGCTAGGAGGAGCATACAGGATGCTGGGAATCGAACCCAGGTCAGCTGCATGCAAAGCAAATGCCCTATCCGCTGTGCTATTGCTCCAGCCCCTGTTTTTAATTTTTTGGACACTAAATACTCCAAGAACTCTTATAGCGGGAAGCATTTTTAAACTAGCAAGTAATTTATACTCTCTTTGAAGCAATTTCTATTAATACAGTATAAAAATGAACATCCCTTTATGCCTCTTCCCCCAAAATAACAGGTTATATACTTTAAGACATATTTTTTTATAATTTTATATACAAAGTCATGTATATATCCTGGGTAATCTTAATAATAGGAAAGGAAAAGAGCAAACTTATATGTCAAAGATTTTTTTTAAAAATTTGACTTTCTGGCTTGCTGAAGTTACTGTTTTATTTCATTCCTATCCCATTTAGATATATCCCGATCTTAGCCAGTGAAAGCAAACGTTTGTACCACAATGATTAACCCTCAGTAGTGCTGAGGTATGACCTTTAGTTCTTTTATCTTTCCTGTATTTTTCCAATTTCATATTTTAAAAAATTATTAGTAGTCTCCCTCATTGCTTCAGAGTTTGAGTAGCGCAAAGTTATCAAACATCTTTGATACAGGGCTGCCTCTGTGTAGTGATGACATTCTCCCAGGAGCACAGTGCCCAATGCAGACCAGGGGTGGCGGAGGCCCTTGAAGTCAAGGTCCACTAATGTCTAGTAGGCTGGAAAACTACCTACCCTATTAACAAGCATTTTTAAATGCTCAATTTTATTCTTAATCTGCTAAAGCAAGAAAAAATATCCAAGGATGGTAATAACCAGTGTAATTGAAGATGCAAAGAACATGTTCCTGGTAAGACCGTGAATAGGTGCAAATTTCCTAGAAAACAATTGGAATTGATACATACATATCTATGTATATACACATAAAAATGCATATGAAATTTCATTCTCATGCTCTTAATCATACATTACTATTTCTAGACATTATTTCTACCAGAAATCGAAGGTGGGAAAAAGATTTAGTTATAAAATGTTTCAGTGAACGTTAGGGAGATGGTTCAAAGGGCTGGAGTGCATGCTTTGCATGCAGGAGACCCCGATTTGAACCCAGGCACCACACGGTCCCAAGTACTGCCAAGATCAAAAACAGAAAAATAATTTTTCCAGAAGAAAAGGATTTTAATAATTTCTATGTAAAATGAACATTTTAACATAACAATAGTTCATACTCATCTCAACAGCATTTAAAATATGGAAATACTGGAATTAAATGAAATATTTGACAAAGAATAATTCATTTAAATCTATGAAATCATTAAGATTTATATGAGGAATACTTAACAACCATAGAAATCATTGTTCAAAAGTTAGTAGACCAGGGTGGGAGAGATAGTCCAGCAGGGAGGGTATTTGTCAGGGCTCTATCCCCAGCCCCATATGGTGTATGCCTCAACAAAAGTGATCCCTGAGGGGCTGGAGTGATAGCACAGTGGTTAGAGCATTTGCCTTGCACGCAGCCAACCCAGGTTTGATCCCCAGCATCCCATAGGGTCCCCCGAGCACCACCAGGAGTAATTCCTGAGTGCATGAGCCAGGAGTAACCCCTGTGCTTCCCTGGGTGTGACCCAAAAGAAAAAGGAAAAAAAAGTGATCCCTGAACACAGAGCCAGGAGTAAGCCTTGAATAGTGCTGGAAGTCACCAAAAATAAATAAATTAAAAAATAAAAAGTTAGTGGATAAAAACAGGAATCAACAGGTATATAACCTCCTAAGCATCTTCAAAGAATATAAACAGGATAAAAAGTGGAGATTAACAGCCCAAACATTAATAGTTGCCCTTGGGAGGCAGAGTTATATGAGTTTCCATAAACTTTAAAAAGTATACATGTCTCTATTATAGATCAAGGAAACCAATAGTGTTTTCACGTGTTATTTCAGAAACTATTCTTTGAAAAAATTTTAATTTGTGGAGTTCATGCCCAATTCCATCAGCCTAATCAGTGGCTGAATAAATAGCAGAACTCCTACATAAAAAGGGAAAAAAAGCAAAATTTTTTAATTTTTTTTTTTTTGCACTAAAGTTGATCTACAGGACTGAATGTCTATATGTCTCAGGGCTACAGTGATGAGCCAATATCCCTCCACACACTTCACGGGACTCACATAGGCACCCTTTCGGCCCAGCCCCATGCCCTTAGAACTCTCAGTTTTGTGGTCTAAGATTTTCTTTTGCTTAGACGCCGACTACCCCCTTTGTTTCCTTATACCACAGAAGTAAAATCATCCAGTATTTGCTTTCTCCTCTGACTTCATAGATGCTACCCCTATAGGAAATAACTTCCCTTACACAACATGACATATTAACAGAAAAAGGATGCTTCTTGGCATATATAATTTAACGGCTTATATACAATCACATAAAAATTCTAAAATCACCAATGACAAGAAAATTATATTCTGTATCTCAATCACAGTTTAAAATCACTATAACATATAGATTGTGCATATCATGAAACTCTGCCTAGAGCCATTGCAATAGAATTTTAAATACGTATTTTAGTTTCTTGTGAGTGTGTGTGGCCAGATGCCAGAAATACACACATTCATCAGAAGTTTGCATAAAATTGCAACAGGAAAACAAAACTCAGCACACATTTAAATCTTTCACTTCCTCTGAACCAAAATTGCTTTAGAACAATACAAGAGTAGGTTTTAGGCTATGTGAGTAGAAGTTCAACATTAAAACCTTAAACAAAAACTTGAAACACTGTTGCAAAAAAGAATATTGTCCACTGTCTTACCGAAGACAGTTCATCGCATCCCAGTAGCTCGTAGTAATCTTCAGTATCTGCAGAACTGTACTTCAGTATTGCGTCCATTTCAATGGCTAAAGCAGCCTGTCTACCTTCTGAAGCTAGAGGCGCCACAAGCTCTAGGAAAACTCCTTTAAATCTGGTTTACAGCGCGATCCGGTTTTAAGGCAGCTCACTGTCAGTGCACCAGATGTCGTCAGAGACCTTTGCAAATTGCACCTTTCATTGGCTGCTTACAGGGAGAACAGATCAGACCACGTGCCCCCCAACTGCTGCAGTGCTGCCTGGGACCTGTAGTCTGAGTTTATGGAGGCGAGACTGACAAATCCTAGGTCTTAGGAGTTCACCAGAAACACCCACTTTAACCCCAATTAGCCAACCCTCCAACTTCTATATGCTTTTATTCTTTCCTTCTCCTTTTTTTGTTAAGAGCTAGAAGAAAACTTGAAGCCATGTTTTTTTTTTTATTTTTTAAACTGTTAGCTATGTTAGTGATTCTGAATCTTAAGAATTTGAGGAGCTGGAGAGATGGTACAGTTGGGTAGGACACTTGCCTTACTCACAGCTGGCACCCCAAAGGATCCACCAAGCCCTGCCAGCAGTTATCCCTGAGCCCAGAGCCAGGAGTAAGCTCTGAGCACTGCCGGGTATGAGCCCCCTCAGAAAAGAATTTGAGTAAGGGTTTGTAAGCCATTTGTAATTCTTTTCTTTTTATAAAGAGAATATGCCCCCCGACCCTTCATCACTGGTGTTGTTGCAATGACCTACAAGTGGTGCTCACCAAAAGTCATACACCAGGTTGCCACACTTGGCACGCATACTCACCAGGGATTATACTCTTAGCTGAGCAAGTCCATTATGGTAGGGGTACTCATCGGGGGGCAAGGGGTGCGCACAGTCTTCCCTCATGGTTATGCTTCCTGGGTAAGGTGCTCCCACGTCGTTTTTTGAGTTAGTGCTCCACAGGAGGTTGAATTCATTTTTCTGTTTGGCTTTGGTTTAGGATCACACCTAGTGATGCTTGGGGCTTACTCCTGCTCAGTGCTCAGGGATCTTTTCTGGCAGAGTTCGGGGGACTATATGGAATACTGGGGATTGAACCGCCTGTGCTATCACTCTGGTCCCATTTTTAGGGTGCTTACAAACACCTCGCCATGGTGCAGCTGGAAGTTGTATGACTGGGGATTCAAACAGTGGTGCTGCTAGAATCACACTGAGCACATGTGGGGACACAAGGGATTTGAACTCATGACCACACACTTGCAAGTAGAGGCCTTGTACTATTATTCCTCTAGACTCCACTGGTACATTTTTTAGAAAAAAAATTGACATGTAAATCATAGGGGTTTACTAAGCACTTACTGGACATACATTGGTTCAAGTGTCGATAGTCTCTTCTTTTTTGTTAAATAACTACCATTGCTTTCACTCCTCATACATCCTAGAATTCAATTTTATCACAACTACTATTTCATAAATTCAAACAAAAATTACTATTCCAAGTAAGCTAATGCATAAAATGAAGATTAAAATCAGCTAAAACAACCAATCTAAATTAAGAAAATATTAACAAACAAGGCTTAATCTGTAACAACATGTTACTTTAATCTCTAATACAAGGGCTTAATTGCTCCAGCGTGAGATACAACGATCTTCACATACTTTCTTCTAAACAATCTTTACCTAATTTCTTCTAAGGAAATCTTGTATGATCATTTTTAGTGAATTATTCATAAGAAGCAATGCAAAATTAATTGTCTAGGGCTTGCTATTGGGGCAGACTTGGGTGGTGGTTGGGAAAATTGTAAATAATGGCTGTAGGAAGTAATGGTGATGGGATGGGAGTTGGAATATTGAATGTAATAAATAATCATGAACAACCTAATAAAAATAAAAGGCCCTCCCGTTGATCGTCGATTTGCTCGAGCGGGCCCAGTAACGTCTCCATTGGAGACTTTGTTGTTACTGTGTCTGGCATATCGAATACTCTCGGTAGCTTGCCGGGCTCTCCGAGAGGGGCGGAGGAATCAAACTCGGGTTGGCCATGTTGGCCGCTTGTAAGGCGAACGCCCTACCCGCTGTGCTATCGCTCCAGCCCAATAAAAATAAAATATTTTAAAATATTTTTTAAAAAATCAGCTGAGTAACTCCTGTGCATCGCCAGGTGTGACCCAGAAAGCAAAAATAAATAAATGAATAAAAATAAAAATCAGCTGAAAGGGCTGGAGAGACAGCACAGCGGGTAGGGCGTTGGCCTTGCACGCTGCCGACCCGGGTTTGATATCCAGCATCCCATATGGTCCCCTGAGCACTGCCAGGAGTAACTCCTGAGTGCACAGCCAGGAGTAACCCCTGTGCATCGTCAGGTGTGACCCAAAAAGAAAAAAAAAATCAGCTGAAAGTTTTCACACACTTCCTCAATAATCTTAAAAATAGGGAATTCTAGAGAATAGAATATAACTGTACTGTATAATATGTAATATAACATAATATAATATTATACATCACCCTGTTTACCAAACTATGGCCTACATTTCTGATAACTTGCCTCTGAATGGCTCCTTCACACTCATGCCCCCTAGTTCACAATATTTTGGGGGCGAGAATAAGGATTAAAAGGAAGAAGTTCAAGGCTGGAGAGATAGTACAGCTGGTAAAGCTTCTGTCTTGCACACGGTCAAAACGGTTCAAAACCCGGCACCTCATATGGTTCCCCAAACACTGGCATCAATGTGTGCACTCACAAGCTACACACGCATGCGCACACACACACACACATACACACACACACTTTAACACTGATACTATCATAAGATATGTCAAAGTATTTCTGTTTCTAGGCCTGGGAATGGAACTCAATAGAAGAGAACATGATTTGCACGCAGGAGACCTGAGTTAATCCCTAGCATTTCTAAACAACAATTTCTGCTCTTTAAAGGTAATTCAGTGAGCATACAAGGAAAGGTGCTCTTCATGGTGAGATGCTAGAGGTTTGGACATGATTCCTTGTTCTTTTCCTCATTTTGTTACTGGCAACTTTTTTTCACTACCGCTAGAATTTGATAAAAAGCCCCTTTCCATCTTGTTTTGAACTTTTGAGACTTTTTATTTTCCAACAATGGTATTGACTGGTTCCATTTTGAAATCAGATTCGACAAATGAAAATGCTGGTTTTGGACAGGGTTTTTATGAATTGCCTGCTGTAATTTTATAATTAGAGAAAAGAACATCTTGAAGGGAGGGGCCATATGGGAAGATAGCTCAAAGGACTGAAATGAATTCTTTGCATGTGCAAGGCCTGGGCTCAATTCCTGGCACCACTTGATCCCCTGGGGTAGGACCACCAGGAGTGTCCCTTGAGTACAGAGATATGAAAGGAGCCCACAGCATGTGGCCCAAAACAAACTGACAAAAAATTATTTTCAGACTGGGAATGTGGTTCGGTGATAGAGTACTGGCCTTACCTATCTGAGACCCGTTGGCTTCAATCATTGACGCCACCTACAACCCTGAGCATCAAGTCAGGAGCAGCTCCCAAATATCACTGGGCATTGCTAAAACACAACAACAACAGCAACCAAAAATGAATAAGGGAGCGGAGAGAGACTATAATGGATAAGATGCTTGCTTGGTAAGAGTGCAATTCCCAGCCCCATATATGGTCCCCAATCCCCACCAGGAGTGATCCCTGAATACAGAGCTAGGAGTATGTCCTGAGCACCACTAACTGTGGTCCAAAGTCTCGCAAACCCCCCCAAAATAATCATTTTGGGGGCAGGAGATGACTCAAAGGCCTGGCATGCAGACTGAGTCTGTTTCCTCCAACTCATGGCACCTGGGCACTAAATCACTAGCCAGAGCTCTGAACTATCTGGATCAAATAGTCAGGCCACCTATCAGCAAGAATGGTGCCCAGGTCTCCTGAGCACTGCTAGAAGCCCCCAAATATTTTCATAAACGTTTTTCTTACAGGGGCCTGCAGTGTTTGGGAGCTCAGAGGCCACTCTGGGTGATAAGAGGTCACGGGATCTGACAGTGAGGTGATCCGGCCTGCTTGAGCAGGTAGGAGAGCCACACCCTATAGTGCTCCTGTTGGGGGCACAGGATTGGTCATGTAATGCCAGGAATTGAATCTGGGGCCTCTTAAATGCAAAGCAGGCACTGCAACTCCTTTGCCTATCCTCCCAGACCCAGATTTCTTCGTTTTTGCTTTTGGTATCTGGGTCACAGCCAGTGCTGCAGGGCCACTCCCCGAACTCTCAGACGTTGCTCCCCAGTCATGCTCCGTGAACTCTGCAGTACCAGGGATCAAACCTGGGCCTTCCACATGGAAAGCATGTGCTCCAACCCTGTCTCCCTAGCCTTCTTCCCCCATTTGAAGTTGCGTATTGATTAGAAAAATTTTTGTTACTCGCTTTAATAAATATTAGCAACATTTTATGAATAGTCAGAAACAATGCAGAGATAATAGATGTTTGAGAAATTGAGAGTACCATTTACTTATTTGTACTCCTATGCCCCATAACTAACCTTTAAACCTGCAGCAGCATCTCACAGTAATGTATATTCTTAATGTTCATTTGGTTTTTCATCTTGAACAACACATTAACGAAATCATATTGAAGCCGATCACGATCACAATCACGACCATCCTGTTGTTCGTCGATTGCCTCGAGCAGGCACCAGTAACATCTCCTTCGTCCTAGCCCTGAGATTTGAAAAAGTGCCATATTCAAGGCTCTTTCAGGGTTAGGAGAATGAGACCCATCATTGTTACTGGCATTTGGCATATTGGGTATGCCACGGGGAGTTTGCCAGACTCTGCTGTGTGGGCAGGTTACATTCGGTAGCCTGCCAGGTTGTCCAAAGTAAGAATAAGATAATAAAATGTCGCAGGGCCACCAATGTGGCCGTGCTTTCGGGAGCTGGGTTTTATAGTCTCTGGGTCTTGGCCGTTGATGGGATTACATGGTGGGGGGGGGGGGCAGTTGGTGGGTGTGACCCCTGCCTACCAGAAGATGGAGGATCTGGGTGGAGGATGCTCAGCCCTGATCTGAGTAGGCTTGGAGATCTCAGCCCCGGGACCCTCATGCCTTTGTTCCTCTGCCAGTACCTTCATGCGTGAGGAGAGTGGTCTCAGCATGGTTGTGGCTGGTTCTG